CTCAAGTGGCCACGCCCTTAATTATGCAGAACTTTAAGGCTTAATATAATTTAAACTAATGAGTTATAAAAAAAATTCACCCTCCTCACAGTTGTCATCAAGGGCAAAATTAGCTATATAGACCAAAATAATTTTTTGAACCAGGCTGTAAACGTGTTTTTTTCTGCTGTAAAGTTGGGCATTTTAACATGGGGAGTCTATGGGATTGACTCCCTTTTGCAGCCAGCCTCTAGCGGCCAGTTGACGAATTACAGTTTAAGTCACTTCTGTGTTGGCTTCACGAGAGAGAGCGTGGTCTTAACCAGGAACATACAGGTGCATCTCAATAAATTAGAATGTCATGGAAACGTTCATTTTTGCACAACCATCAGTTAGGTGGCGATATGCACTAAATATGTAAACGACCGCTGAACAAACGAAGAAAGAAATAAACAGCATGGCACACTTTTTCTTAGCATCCATTTCCATAGTGACTCTGTTGAGAATGTCTCGAGTCTTAACCAGACTATAAAAACGTGACGTCACCCGTAGCTTCTTTTGACCTCACTGATTGGAGCGTTTTTGAAGCTGCTGAGTTGAATGAACTCGAGTAAGCAAGGTTTGGGGTTAATCAACTGAAAGTGCAGGGTTTAGCTAACGGCAAGTTAACCGTGCTTTCTGGAATGCACCCCAGGTAGTCTACTTTTTTCCCCCCCGTGTAAACAAATCACTTTGTAAAACATCTTGTTTGCATTGGTGAAAGTTTGTTGGGTGTCACTGACTTGTCAAGTTTCTCCACCTTGTCTACCAACCAAGTTCATTGTTCTCTTGAAAGGAAAAAAAAGGTGAATTCCTGTGAACAAGGTGTTGCTCTAGCATTCCATGGATTAAAAACTGCCACCGGCGGCGAATGGATAAAACCAGTAAAATAAAAACCTGTTCAAACATGCAGGAGATTTACAAGAAGCTAGAACCTTGATAGGCACAAAAAAAATTTAAAACCTTTCCATTCTTTTTGGTCAATATTGAAAGCAAAAAATGCTCAACTTTTGGTAGCATGACCGATCAATTTAACAAACACTCATTCCTTTAGCAGTGAAAGAAAGGTGCTTTCAGCATAATCGCATTTCAGATTTGACTCGCAATTTCATGTCTCAAAAACAATCCAATCACAGTATGAAGTCCTGTGAAAGAAAATTACACCCAAAAGATAAAAGCATTCAAGTTCAGTTCATCTCATTTATTTTCTTATGTACAAAAATGAGATCATATATACACTTTACACAGTTCAAGATCTATTTTGGAAAAAGCAAATAATAATCAAAATCAAAAACACATTCTTCACATTTCTCGAGGACTCTGTACATATGTACACATTCTTCTAGTCACATCTCATGTTCATTGACCGTTTCTGAAGTCAAAATAAATACATGACACGCCTCAGCGCAGACGATTAAAGTCACAATCCACAATCTTTAGTCAACCTGACATGACAGATCCTCATTTACTCCATTTCTGTAAAGCGTGCAAACATGGCTTTCCGGACGGCATCTTTGTATGTATCTGAAGCAGAGAGGCTGTAGTTGCTTCCTTTAGTTCCCAGACCAGCTCCCTTCATTCTCAACTGAGCCTGCAGGCAAGATGACAAAGACTCATTTCTTAGTTATGTCAAGTATTTGCAAAAAAATATACTGTGGTGTGACTGGGGTTCAAAATGAACCTTCTGCCACACCGGTTTATGATTAGTGAGCTGCAAAACAGAAACAAAGTAACTAAATGTTTGGCGTCTACTTCAGGTTTCGCACTGCATATTAAACAGCACAGGTCACTGCAACACTCACAGCATCATTTATTGTGAAATAACACGCGTCGAGAACATTAAAATACATCTTGATTTTATTTGAGCATATTCAACCCGGAAAGCAAGGTCATTAACTAAAACCATGCAAAAATATTTCCTTGTTTAAAAAAAAAAAAAAAAAAGTTATCAAAAACAAAATATATATATAAAAAAATTTAACTTTTTATTGTCATTAAAAAAAAAAAAGACAAAAAATTATGAAAAAAAAAGACAAAAACAACAATTACAAAAACTTTGAAATTAAAATGAAAACAGAAAATATACATAAGCTAATTCAAAATATTAATGAAAATTATAATATTAACTGAAAAATATTAGAATAACATTGCTGGAAAGATGGTTAATTCAAGGACTCTGGATTTACAACTTCAAACTTTCTGCAAAAACTCTGAATGCAAAGTAAAAACTTCATTTCTGATGCTTGCCAAATTGTGCATGTCTGTTTTTCACATACTAACAGACACCACCTACACTGACAAATACATCTATGCTAATTGCACAAGAAACATTTGTGTTGAACGGTTTATCGAATACCAGGTATACCATGGTAACATGACAAAATGAGTCGTACCTCAATTGGTGCTGTGATGCCCTGCTGGTTTCGACCCAGACCTTTGCCTTCCTTCCAGCCCATGGCCTGCAGCATCTTATTGCCGATATTATCGCTGTTCAGGCCATCCTTGGTGGGCTGTTCGTAATTTCTGCAAATCAAATGGCACAAAATGCATCATTATATTGTTATCACAACTGTACTGTAATAGTAAATATCGCTACTGAATCAAACTTAAATTTTGTGTTAAAATAAGCACTTGAACTTACACTATAGGTGTTGGCTGGGTGAATTTCCTTTTCTTGGGCACAGGGGGTTCAGGGATACCGTATTTCTCTCTCCTCTCAGCAGCCCTGTCTCTGTACTTCATCTGTTCAGTACAAGGTAAAAGGGAATGAATCAGTGTCAGTAACATCCAGGAAATACTCTCTAAAAGAAAGATGTATGCATTTATAATGAGGTTTTATACCTCCGTCTCTTTCCTCTCCAACTCCTCCAGTTCTGCTTCACTCAGTTTGGATCTTCTGAGAACCTCCAAGTTTTGCTGGAAAGCACAGGTGTATATATTTATTTAAATAGGTAAATAAATAAATAACACTCCACAGGTCAAAAGTTTGGAATGATTCATTTAAAGGTTTTTGAAAGAGGTCTCTTATGCTTCCAAAAATATGAAGCATTAATAACAAAAGTTTCTTGAGCAGCAAATCAGCATATTGGAATGATTTCTGAAGGATCATGTGACACTGAAGACTAGGGATGGGTACCGAGAACCGGTATTTTTTTGGACGGGTACATAATTGGGTCAATACCGGAGTACCGATAAGCTTCAGGACAAACGATACGGTTATCGATACTTGCGTTGTTTTATCTCCATATACTTAAATGTTAATGACGAATTAGAAGCTGCTGCTTGTCATTTCCCTTCACTGAATGATGTGGCCGACGTTTACTCAACGTGCGTGTGATATCTAGGGTGGGGTACCATTCACATTTTAACCGGTATGGTACCGGTATCTGAATTTCGGTGCCGGTACCCAACGGTACCTTTTTTCGGTACTTTACTCTCCGTGTCTCAATTTCAAGTCTCAATTTCAACATTTTGAACAATAGGGCCCTACAAACTTTTTCTTTCTTTCTATTTTCTTTCTCTGTTTTAATTTTTCTGAAAATCAAATGAAGGCATTAAACATTTATTTTAAATCAAATGAAAATTAAAGGAAGAAAAACTCTCGAAGTTTAAAACATTTTTAATAGGCTAATAATTGTACAATTGTTTTCTACAATGAAGTGATTAATCTGGTTGTAATATTTATTTTTATCATTTAATTGTTTTATTTAAATTTGATAGAAAATTTAATATTTAAAGAAACAGCACCTGATTACTTGGTTATCTTATTTATCGTCTGATTGCGTTAATACCGTCAAAAACACAAGGTTTACATATAAACAGTTATTTATTTCTAAAGTGAAAGTAAACAGTTGAGAGAAAACCAGATGCGTGCAGCTCTTAAAGCGGCAGTACTAAATATGCTGCCGCTTATCATTAAAGGGATAGTTCACCCCAAATTAAAATTGTCATTAACTCAGTCATGTTGTACCAAACATGTATTAATTTTTATTTATTCTTGTGCTGAACACAAAAGAAGATATTTTGAATAATGTGGGTAACCAAACAAGTTGCTGGTCCCCACTGATTTTAAAGGGGTCATTTGATGCGATTTAAATTTTTCCCTTTCTCTTTGGAGTGTTACAAGCTGTTCGTGAATAGATAAGATCCCTAAAGTTGCAAAGACTAAAGTCTCAAACCTAAAGAGATATTCTTTATAAAAGTTAAGACTCGTCCAAGCCCTCCTAAAACGGCTCGTTCTAAGACGCCCCCACATGTCCACGTCACTGTGTGGGAAGATTTGCATAACACCGCCCAAATTTTCACGCAAAGAAAAAAGGCGTAACTTTGATTCTCGCTGTAGTATTGCTGCCGCCAAGTCTTGGAGACGCTGTGTTTCGTTGTGAAAGCGAAAATACTTTGTTTGGTCTTCCAAAAGAGGACACGACTAGAAATCAGTGGTTTAGTTGTATTTACAACACTGTTCCAGAACACTTCAACCCAGATATCCAGATGTGTGCAATGTATTTTACAGAGGACGAGGACTTTCCCAGGTTTCCTGTGAGAGTAGCCTACAATGCCGGTGTTCCGGTGAATTCAGTTCCCGTTTCCCCTTCGGCGCGCATGCTGACCACAATCTATGATGCTGACGTTTTCATATTTAAAGGATTTGCCACTGACGATTCAAATGCGAGTTCTGTTGTTTGTCGTTTCTCCGATCACAAATGCAGACATGGTTTTATGTTTACACGGCGCGATGCAACGCAAGGTGTAAAAAGACAGTACAAGTCATTATAATCAGTAATTATGTCCCCACTGGATGCAACAAATGCCTCGTTTATAATGGGTTTTACTGGTTTTGTCTCATCGCACCAGGACACGGCATCACAATATGGTAAGGGCGTAACATTTCCGTCTCACGCTTGAGGTATTCAGCCAATCACAACACACTGGATAGCTGGCCAATCAGAGCACACCTCGCTTTTCAGAACAATGAGCTTTGTAAAAATCGACGCGTTTCAGAAAGGCGGGGCATAGAGGAGAAACAATAATGTACAGTATGTGAAAAAATTAGTTTTTTGAACCTTAAACTGCATAAACATTTCAAATTTGGCACCGATTGATTTAACGTGAATCGGTACTCTGTAGTACCGATGCAATTCAGTTGGTACCCTTAAAAGTACCGAGTTCGGTACCCAACCCTAGTGATATCTATGCACATGTGCGGTGTGTGTTTGCGTGCAATCAGTCATCACGGAAAGAGTGAAACTTTCGAAAGTGTGGGCTAACGTTACAAAACTAAGGGCTCACGTTACAAAACTAAGTGACACCAGTGTCAGATGCAATATATGCAGTAGTGTAATAGTGAACGAAGGAGGCAACACTAGTAATATAATGAAACATTTACTAACAAAACACAACATCTACCTCAAGCAATGCGCTGTATTATGTCTCGCGGCTCCAGCTCACGAGACACATTCACATCAAATGTCGATTCGGTACAGTTACACTCACGAGACTTATTCGCAATCACAAAAGTACATTATTTCCACGTGCTTTAAAGCCTTGCCGGTTAAACGTTTTATTCGCGTGCTGTTCTAACATGTGCTTATTCAGAGCGCGTACACCCGAAGTGTCCGTACACTAAAAGGCCGGTCAAACAGCACCTGATTACTTGGTTATCTTATTTATCGTCTGATTGCGTTAATACCGTCAAAAACACAAGGTTTACATATAAACAGTTATTTATTTCTAAAGTGAAAGTAAACAGTTGAGAGAAAACCAGATGCGTGCAGCTCTTAAAGCGGCAGTACTAAATATGCTGCCGCTTATCATTAAAGGGATAGTTCACCCCAAATTAAAATTGTCATTAACTCAGTCATGTTGTACCAAACATGTATTAATTTTTATTTATTCTTGTGCTGAACACAAAAGAAGATATTTTGAATAATGTGGGTAACCAAACAAGTTGCTGGTCCCCACTGATTTTAAAGGGGTCATTTGATGCGATTTCAATTTTTCCCTTTCTCTTTGGAGTGTTACAAGCTGTTCGTGAATAGATAAGATCCCTAAAGTTGCAAAGACTAAAGTCTCAAACCTAAAGAGATATTCTTTATAAAAGTTAAGACTCGTCCAAGCCCTCCTAAAACGGCTCGTTCTAAGACGCCCCCACATGTCCACGTCACTGTGTGGGAAGATTTGCATAACACCGCCCAAATTTTCACGCAAAGAAAAAAGGCGTAACTTTGATTCTCGCTGTAGTATTGCTGCCGCCAAGTCTTGGAGACGCTGTGTTTCGTTGTGAAAGCGAAAATACTTTGTTTGGTCTTCCAAAAGAGGACACGACTAGAAATCAGTGGTTTAGTTGTATTTACAACACTGTTCCAGAACACTTCAACCCAGATATCCAGATGTGTGCAATGTATTTTACAGAGGACGAGGACTTTCCCAGGTTTCCTGTGAGAGTAGCCTACAATGCCGGTGTTCCGGTGAATTCAGTTCCCGTTTCCCCTTCGGCGCGCATGCTGACCACAATCTATGATGCTGACGTTTTCATATTTAAAGGATTTGCCACTGACGATTCAAATGCGAGTTCTGTTGTTTGTCGTTTCTCCGATCACAAATGCAGACATGGTTTTATGTTTACACGGCGCGATGCAACGCAAGGTGTAAAAAGACAGTACAAGTCATTATAATCAGTCACTGATGCAGTAATTCATGCAAAAGGAGGCCCAACCAAGTATCGAGTACATGTGCAGTAGATTTACATACTTTCCAGAAGGCCAAAAATTCACTAAAAATGTTTTTTTTTATTGGTCTTATGAAGTATTCTAATTTGTTGAGATAGGGAATTGGTGGGTTTTTGTTAAACGAGAGCCAAAATCATCACAATTAAAAGAACCAAAGACAAACTACTTCAGTCTGTGTGCATTTAATTTATTTAATACACGAGTTTCACAATTTGAGTTGAATTACTGAAATAAATGAACTTTTCCACGACATTCTAATTTATTGAGATGCACCTGTAGTTGCTAAAATTCAGCAGTAATAAAATTACTTGAAATTTTTAACAACTTTTCACTTCATATCTTTTTGCACCAAATAGTATCGACAAGCAGTATCGGTATCGATAAAATGTAAACGATACCCATCCCTACTGAAGACAGGCGTAATGATGCTGAAAATTCAGCTTTGCATCACAGGAATAAATTGCATATTAAAGCATATTCAACCAGAAAACAATTATTTTAAATTGTAATAATATTTCACAATATTACAGTTTTTTTCTGCATTTCTGATCACCTAAATGCAGCCTTGGCGAACAGAAGAGACTTCTTTCAAAGGATTTTTAAAATCTTAACTACTACAACCTTTTTATTGGTAAAAAAAAAATCTAAAGTAAAGTTAAAGTGGATTTTTAAAATTTTAAATGTGATGGCAATGATTATTATCCAACTGAAACGGCTTCGGCTATTTACCTTGTGCAGGTCTGAGAGCTGCTGATGGCGGATGAGATACGGAAAAAATACAGGAATTATCACCAGATGACTTTAGCAACAATCTGGAACAAATTAATTCTAGAATGATTATGGGTGATATTGTTTGGGGAGTGAGAAAAAAAAAATGAAAAATTACTTTCTTGGTCTAAAGACTTATTAAATTTGGGTGTTCACACATGGGTATAATATTTACAAGAACCAACTCAAACCTTGTTCAGTAACAATAAAAAACAGTTTAACAAAAATCTTTCTATTTAAGTTTCAAATGTTCAATTATCTATTTTTATTTTGGTGCACTGAGAAGCTAAAGCACCTTATAATTGTGTAAATGAACAAGTATGCTGAAAACAAAATATTTAATTAAATTGCAGATGTCATAATTTGATGATTAAGCAATTGTCACAGTTGCAATTTAAGTAAAAAAATCACAATTTTATTTCTATATATCGGGAGGACCTAAGTGCGTATTTGAATTTTTTTTTTCACCTATTGTATTGACCAGTAGGGGTGGGTGATCTTCCAAAAATATCATATCACGATCTTGTCACACAAAATCACGATCCACGATCTGAATCGCGATCTTCCCAATTTTGAGATGTATTAAGAATATTCAGAGTGGAACAAGCCTATGACTTACCTATTTGAACAATTTAAAACACAGTATTGCATTAAACAACCAAAATGGATATTAAAGCCTGAGTTTAACTTTAAAATCACTGCATCACTGTATGAATCAAATATACTGTACGTTGCTTCTTATTAAAGTTATAAAATAATTCAATCAAGAGCAGTGAGTGATTTTCTTTGTCTTTTGTTGTTTGATTAACATTAATGACACAGACAGCAGTAAGTTTATTAGGCTGCTGTCTCTTTAAGACTGAATGCACGGATCTAATATACTGACATGCATCTGATTTCTTTCCCAATTGTTTATGTTCACTTAAGACATAACTGACTGTCTTTATGTAAATACTCACCAAAACAGACATTTTGACATATTATTGTGTATATTTGACAATTTATGCGCATGCCTGAAACTCAACATATACTTTGCTTGCTCCGTCTCGGAGCTCGTGCACAGAACGCACCTGGGGAACAGTCTCTATCGCAGTTAATGCGCTTTTAATAACCCTTTTTAAAATAAACCATGTCCCACAGTAGTCTGCATTTTACGACAGTCACGTTGCATGATTGGACTGATTTGCACGTCAAGTTTAGGAGAGGCGAAAGCACACTGCTTGAAATGATTGGAACATCTTGCGGCTACTACTAGCTCACGTTGAGTTGTTTTTTTAAATACGTCACCACGCATGAAAGACACATGATAGAAACGCGTGATACAATTTGATAAGCCACAGTCATCTAATAGGCAGTCATTGCTGTAGTTTTAACATTATTATGAGGATATAAAAGATCACGATCTCTACGGTTCGCTTGAAAAGTATATCGTAGACACCTTCGATATTGATCACGATATAAAATCGACAGATCGCCCACCCCTATTGATCAGCAAGCCAAAAGTGAAGTCTGTAGTGTTAGGACACATTAGTGCTTTAAAAGAACTCAAGCACGTTGAATTGTTATTACCTGCTGAGCCGTTTTGCTCTTAGGTTTCTCTTTCTTCTCTTTCTGAGTAGTGGATGTGGAGGCAGCGTCGCTTTGAGCAGCGTTGTTGGCATCCACCGCGGGCACATAGGCCTGCTTCTCCCCATCCCAGTACAGATACTGCTGAGTCTGGGAGTTGTAGTAATACTACAGATAGAAACAACAATACTTAGAACCCTCTACATGCACTCCGCTGAAATATAGTATTGTCTTGTTGAAACCTGCATGGCATACGTACATGTGTGTTTGGGTCATAGTACAGGCCAGTGCTGGGGTCGTAATAATACCCGGAAGACTCATCGTACTGATAGGATGAAGTGTCTGGGACAGCTAGTGGAAGTGAGGAAATGGTGAAAGAATCAGAAACCTGTATCATAATGTCTTCTGATTGGATGATGTGGATTTAGTGATGTGTTTTTACCGGCTTGGTTTTCCTGAGAGGTAGCTGTTGCTGTGCTGGCTGCTGCGGCCGATGTCGCGACTGCAGAGGTTGCTGGGCCGGAAACCGTGGCAGCGGCTGTGCCGGGCTGGGCTTTGCCTTCAATCTGCAATGTCTGACAATAAAATGGGTTATAATGAGATTACGACAATAATTGCACTAGGACAGTGGTTCTCAAACTTTTTGTCAAGGACAATATTTGAAGACCCACAAATATATTTCTAGCACTTCAGCTGTAGTGACAAAGCTGCTTGTTTTCTATGTCTTTTAGTTTACAGAAACAATACATTAAAATAATTATAAGTAAATACATTTAATAAGTTGCAGAAGTTTCAATAATGGAATGGGATTTTTTTTCCTAAACATTTTTTTGAATCAGCAGTTGAAATATTTAAGGAAAAATCTGATTTTGGAACAGAGCTACATACATAAACAACACCAATATCTATGGTAACATCCTAAACTGTAAAATGACCATAGAAACTACAATTTAAACAGTTTGTGTTCAAATAAAAGTTTTGACAAAAACAATGATGCATGTTATATATTGGTCTGAACAAAAACAGCAAATAAAAAAAAAACCGTATTGCATTTGCACAAATCAAATAAATGGCCTATTTCAATGTCAGAATGGTAAATTTCACTGAAGTTCGCAGGTAAGCTTTGAGTGGTTCATGATGATTGGATTTTTTTTTTTTACATTCACAAATATCAGTTTTTGAGGTTCATATAACTAAAAACACTTATATTCATAAAAAAAAATAAGATTTTTTTTATTTCTATGACTTATTTAAGGTCTGGAAAACACACCCTAAAATACCCTCATATATACAGGTTGTCCAAGACCATGAGAATCCTGGTGCTTAAATAAAATTGCCAGTTGTTGACAAAAATGAAAAACACTTTCATCTAGATTTTTAGCAGTTTAAATTTATTCTAAAGCTCATTGTTTTATTTGTAACATTTCAGTCATTTTACAGCCCTTGGAAATTTGCTGAAACCCACAAGTGCGTCCTGGCCCACTCAATGAGAACCACTGCACTAGAATCTAATGCAATTTATCTAGTTAAAAAAAAACTAATAAACGAGTCATAGCATAAAGTAGTCACCTGAGCAGCTGGCTGGCCCATGATATGAGGCTGATAGACCTGCGCACTCTGAGAGATCACCACTCCTGTAGCAGCAGGAAGAACCTTCACACCTGGAGCCGCTGCAAATTAAAACATACCACAGCTATTCAGCTTGTAAATAGCAAGCACAACTAGTCCTTTTACTTTCATAAAAGAACATATTGTGACCTGGCAAAATCCTATTTTGATGCTCCTACTAGAATAAGTAGACAATGCCCGGCAAACGTTACCTCCAAGTATGCCGTTAGCCTGGGAATGGTCCACAGCTCCAGCTTGCTGCTGATAGTATGCCTGGTACTCCTAAACAACAAATTATCTTAGCTCAGCTCAATATCAAAACAATTCATATAAATGCAATTCTAAACAATTTTGATATGCGTTTCAGATGGTGCAGTCAGCTGACCTGTGAACAGGGTACATATCCCTCTTGCAGGTAGCTGTATTCTGATGTTGGTTCCACACTCTGCTGAGGCTGTAAAGTGAAATATAGTCAATTAAACCGGTCATGCATGCATAATTCCATTTTAACATTAAGCCATGGTTACAATAAAGTTGTTCATACCTGACTGGAGGACCACTGAGCAGCTGCAATGGCTGTACTGGCAACCGAAAAGGCACTAACACGGTTCCCATCTGGCAATAACAGGTCCCTGAGAAAAAAAGGCATTTCAGTAAACTGAATTATTAATCAAGCTACAGCAAATGGAAAAATTCTTCTGAGCAAATCAACCGCATGAGGATATGAGCGAGAGATGCGTACTTTCGAGCACTCTTGGCGTAGTCGACACCAATAGTCTTCCCATCCAGCTTGAGAGGTGGCTGTAAGCCCTGAAGGATGGTTAGGAGCTGTGACGCTTCCTGCAAAAAAAAGCACAAACATCATGTTAGCACAGTTCATGTGCTAAAAAAAAAGATACAAAAGAGGATGCAGGTATAATTTTACTGTTTGTTAATCGTTTGATACTGGTTTCACTTAAGAGATCAACCTCTCTATTTGCTTAAGATGAATCTCTGAAGAAGATTTGTATAGTCCGAGGAAGGGAGAAAACAGTTACCAAAGGAGAGGCAAGTTGGATGAAGGCAAAGCCTCTGTTCTGTCCCGTCTGTTTATCCTTAATGAGGCGGATATTGCCGGGCGAGAGGTTGGCATAGGGGGCGAGTGCCGTCAGAATAGCTTCAACAGTGGAGTGAGGGGCGATGTTCCTCAGGATGATGGCTGTAAAGACATGCAAACATATCAGTGTGAATACAAAACAAGCACTGCACAACACACTTGAGGACATACCAGTATCAGCCAATATTTGAATTTAGATTATCAGCATCAGCCTACATTGGACAATTTTGGAACCCAATGATATGCAACTGACATTTTAGATAATATTTATTGGTGCATCCCTAATTCAGAGGTGATATTTGTGGAAAAGAGCTTACTATCGCCATAATAATCTCCACTGGATTGGGTGTCTGTGGCTCCTGTTGTGCTGCTGGACTCAGAATCTGAAAATAAGCACAAAGAATAAAAGCACACTGAGTTTCTTTATAAACACTGAAGCCTGATACAAACCACATCACTGAAAGAGCCCCATACAAAGGCTTTGGGAAGGCCATAATAGATGATTCCTACAATCCCAGCGTGACTCTGTCATCAGTCAAAATGACTGTTTTGTTTTTAAATCATTAGCATTAAGTAGGCAGACACTGTAAACTGATAATATGAGGGCTGACTGTGCTGTATTACAACTTTTGATGCTTGATTTGACTAGCAAACATAAAACATTTAAGTGGAGCCATAATATCAGTTACCAGCTATAAAAAAGTAAATACCAGCTATCATGAGTGATAAAAACAATTAATCACTATTTTATATTAGTTTGGAGTACTGTACATAACACCCCACATACATTGCTCCAAGGACATGACGGTGTTTGACTGGACCATCCAGATGGGTGCAGACAGCGGTTTCCTGCTCAGGGAGCTACTTACCCGCTTTAGCTGCGCCACACCTGAAGCACTTCAGCCTCCTCCGGAAATTGTACAGGCCACACTGCAAGCAACCGGTCATAGTGTTTTAATTGACACTTCTGCTATGGGGCACCAGGTAACAAGCACACTAGAGTGGCTTGAACACTTACCGTGATGGAAGTCCACCAAGTGGACCAAAAAACTGAGATGCTACACTTAACTAGCTAACTTTTCTTAAATTAAACAATTAATCACTATTTTATATTAGTTTGGAGTACTGTACATAACACCCCACATACATTGCTCCAAGGACATGACGGTGTTTGACTGGACCATCCAGATGGGTGCAGACAGCGGTTTCCTGCTCAGGGAGCTACTTACCCGCTTTAGCTGCGCCACACCTGAAGCACTTCAGCCTCCTCCGGAAATTGTACAGGCCACACTGCAAGCAACCGGTCATAGTGTTTTAATTGACACTTCTGCTATGGGGCACCAGGTAACAAGCACACTAGAGTGGCTTGAACACTTACCGTGATGGAAGTCCACCAAGTGGACCAAAAAACTGAGATGCTACACTTAACTAGCTAACTTTTCCAAAACAAAGCTTGGATAGAGATGCTCTGACATTATTTTTAAGATCTTAGATGAGTCATTTATTTTCTAAAGTATTCACCATTTAATTTAATGCTCTATCAGCATCAAAGGCTATGTTCACAGGAACAATATGCAATACAACTGAACTTCATACAACAATAACAAGTATAACCTATATTACCATTACTATTAAAAAGTTTGAGGTTGATGACATTTTTTTAATGTTTTTGAAAAGTCTCTTATGCTAAACAAGGTTGCATTTATTTGATCAAAAAAAAACTGTAAAAATTATATTCATACTAATGAAGCTACAGTAAAAATTATACTAAATGTTATTACAATTTAAAACAACTATTTTCTATTTGAATATCTTGCAAGCTGTAATTTATTCCTTTAATGCAAAGCTGAATTTTCAGCAGTCATTACTCCAGTCTTGAGTGTCATATGATCAGAAATCATTATTTTCTTATTAATTCTTATGATTATCAATGTTGAAAACAGTTGTGCTGTTGTAATACTTTTTTTAGGATTCTTTGATGAACAAAGTTAATTTATTTTCAAGTCTCTTATGCTAAACAAGGTTGCATTTATTTGATCAAAAAAAACTGTAAAAATGATATTCATACTAATGAAGCTACAGTAAAAATGATACTAAATGTTATTACAATTTAAAACAACTATTTTCTGTTTGAATATCTTGCAAGCTGTAATTTATTCCTTTAATGCAAAGCTGAATTTTCAGCAGTCATTACTCCAGTCTTGAGTGTCATATGATCAGAAATCATTATTTTCTTATTAATTCTTATGATTATCAATGTTGAAAACAGTTGTGCTGTTGTAATACTTTTTTTAGGATTCTTTGATGAACAAAGTTAATTTATTTTAGATTATTTGAAATAGAAGTCTTTTGTAACATTATAAATGTCTTTACTGTCACTTTTGATCAATTAAATGCAACCTAGATGAATAAAAGTATATATTTTTTTCCAAAAACACAAAAAAAACCTTGCCCCCAAACCTTTCAGTTTTCCCTGGTGAAAGTTTAAAAAAAATCTAATATTGAAATTTCTGAATAAAACCGGAACAATATTCAACATGAAACTGATATTGTAACTGCAGTTCAACATCTTGAGAAGTCCATGAAACTTACGGAGTTGCAGAGCCAGTCCTCAAACTTGTGACGGTTGTTGCTGTAGTGCATGGCAACAGTCTTGCCTTGAATAGACAGCAGTTTCTGGAAAAGGAAGAAAGAGTTTGGTTATTTCCTCTCTTATGAAGGTTTAATCTCAGCCCAAGAACAACCACATTAGCCACGAGGGTTTAGGGTGAGGATCGCCCGGGAGGGTTTAACGTGTAAGATGGTGTGTGTTTGGGACCCGAGTGTCCGGATGGGGCCGGAACAGAGTGTAAAAAAATAAAAATAAAAATGCCACTCCTTTCTTAAAAGGGATGGGGGGACTTTCAAGACGAGGCATTGGCTTACCACATTTACTTTCTCTGTGCAAAACAACTAATTACTATTAAAAACGGTTGATATATTTTAATAGTGATGTCCATATGGGATGTTAAATATAGCACCAACACTTCTACTTCTAGCCTTGAACAACTAAAATAAACCTAAAATAAAGATTTTTTCAGAGGATGATGACAGTATTGACAAAAAATTGTGGCTTAAAACCCATTTGAGTCATTCAAGTCACACCTGAAGTGTATTATGTACTTCCCTCTTAAAATCAGTGATTATTTTCCCATGCTAACAAACAGAGTTCTGGTAAAGTTAATAACATGAAGCCAGAGTATCCATCAAATGGCTCTTCTATATTTTGGTCACACCTTGCCTTCAAAAACAGCGGCTCTGGTCCATTTTTGTCCATATAGTCTGCTGGGGCAGCAACTTTGTTTTTGTTTTTTTCCCTTCCATTTATATTTTTCTATTTAACTTGCATTATTCCCCAGGGCAAAAGCTAGACTTGGTGATTAGGAAGCAACCTGATTGGTCTCCATCCATCGGGTAGCATCTTGCAAGTGATAAAACTCCACGAAGGCGAAACCTCGGCTTATACCTAGAGAGGCATTCAGATATACAGACGGGAGGCGTTAGTTTATATGGTTCAGTGGTACAACATTCAAACTCTGTCACAAACTGCTTCGTGACCCCCTTGACCCAGAGAGGCCAAAGAGATGTAAGGGGGTTGCCTGGAAACTTTTACCATAGCAACAGCAGCTTATAATATTCTAGCCGTTGGTCTAACACTGATAAATGTAGGTTGAATCAATAACTAAAGCAAAGCAAACAGTCATAAACATAGCAGAGTCTTAACAAGCAAATAATCTTTATGAGACAGATACTGCCATCAGATTGACTTTTGGATGACCTTTAATAAAGAAGCTACATGACTGCATCTACGTTCATGTAACTTCAATTGGCATAAATAAAACTGCCAATTCTGAGCCACACAAATGTCAGACAAAACTTACCTCCAAACATGTATCTAATGTGCACCCATTTTTTTTTTTTAACTCAGTAGTCTGAAAGGGTAAAACTGGTCAGATAACATGTTGCTATGGCAAAAGGCGTTTAAGCAGAAGCAGGTTGGCCCAGTGGACACAGGTTTGTTTGGGAGAGGAAGGATCCGTGGTACATCAGTCTCACCTGTTCTCTTTTTCATCAGCCTCACGTCCATTGGCTTTGGCCCCTCCAGCTGCTCAATGGCTCCTCGAATCTGTGGATTACAAGGCAAAGTCAGATCAAGTTTGTTTGTTGAAACCAAGCCCACTTCTATTTTGACTTTCATAGTGAAATCCAGTATAAAATATCACAGTTATAACTAAAAACCTTAACCCTCTTAGCGCCAAAGTCGCAAAATTGCGACAAGACGTCATACTTAATCAAATAGACTGTAGTTCCTAATATGGTGTAATATCTCATTTGTATTCCCTACCACTAGATGGCAGACATGTAGTACTTCGATTCTAGACCAAAATTACGTCACGTTCCTATTCAAAGTGTTCGAGGAAATAGCAGAGCAAGTGAGCTATCGTGTCATTGATGCGGAAGCAGTTCAGTTCAGAGCGCGCGGGTAAGCTGGGAGATTTGTGAGAGAAAATCGCCAAATGGCTAATAAAAGTTGTACCATGAGGATGTGTTGCAAATGTTATTCGCCGATTCTGACTCTGAAGGGGAATATTTGCCTTTTGGAAATGATGATCGGTCGTCTAATAACCGCGCTTCTCCCGGTACATCTTTGCAGCGCAGTGGTGCCGCCGTGCAAGGTGCGAGTGTTCACGAAGCACAATCAAGTGATCATTTCGACCCTTTGCCCAACGGGGATGGGGGTGGCAGGGCAATATCTATTATTTCCTGAATATTACAGATGAAATGATCAAAAAGTAGGCTACTGTTCACATGCGTTTTACTACTATATAGTAAAGTAATATAGTAATAATTTAGTACTTTCTCCTGTTTTATTGTTGGTTTCCTCTTTTCTGATCATTTGTAATGAGGATAAATATATTAAAAAAAAACAAATAGGTTCAAACATCAATTCAATATCTATTATTTCCTGAATATTATGACATTCAGGAGGGCCGCCCCCTGATGACGTCATACTATGCAAATTAGATGAGAATATTTACACCCCACGTAAACTTTCGGTCATGCCCAACATTTTTCTAATTTACATTAGATCTCTATCTTTAAGCCCTTTCAAGCTACAAGCTTTTGAAATCTTGATGTCAAAATCCAGCATTTTTCCAAAAAAACCCTGGCGCCTAAAGGGTTAAGATGCATTTTTAATAACTCTAAAACTAATTATTTTAATCTTGACAAACACTGGTTAAAATGTATTCTCTCTCACAAAAAGCTTTATTTTTAATATACCTATTAAAATAATTTAATATCAATTATATTCACTGAAGAAATTTCCGTAAGATTTTATTATTTCAGGTCTGGAATATTTATAACAATCATTTATTACTACTACTATTATTATTATTTATACTCAAAGCAGAAATTTACATGATAAGATTTATTGATTCCATGCTTTTAATATTTACTAAATTAATTCTTTATTCATATTATTATTCTTTTAATTCTATGCCTGGACATATATATTTTTTAATGACTTGCTATTATTATTATTATTCTTTATTATCAAATTTATTACTCAAAGCAGAAATTTCCATCATAAGATTTTTTGATTCCATGCCTGGAATATTTAGTAAATTCATTATTATTAAATTCTATGCACAGCTATTTATTCACTCTTTTTTTTTAAATAATGGGCCTGGAAACATTTATAAAAATTATTTGTTGTTGTTGTTATTATTATGTGCAAAAAATTCCATGATAAGATCCTATTAATTCCAGTTCTGGAATACTTGCTATATTAGTTTATTATTGTTAATATATATATATATATATATACAGTGGGTACGGAAAGTATTCAGACCCCCTTAAATTTTTCACTCTTTGTTATATTGCAGCCATTTGCTAAAATCATTTAAGTTATTTTTTTTTTCCTCATTATACACACAGCACCCCATATTGACAGAAAAACACAGAATTGTTGACATTTTTGCAGATTTATTAAAAAAGAAAAACTGAAATATCACATGGTCCTAATTATTCAGACCCTTTGCTGTGACACTCGTATATTTAACTCAGGTGCTGTCCATTTCTTCTGCTCATCCTTGAGATGGTTCTACACCTTCATTTGAGTCCATCTGTGTTTGATTATACTGATTGGACTTGATTTGGAAAGCCACACACCTGTCTATATAAGACCTTACAGCTCACAGTGCATGTCAGAGCAAATGAGAATCATGAGGTCAAAGGAACTGCCTGAAGAGCTCAGAGACAGAATTGTGGCAAGGCACAGATCTGGCCAAGGTTACAAAAAAATTTCTGCTGCACTTAAGGTTCCCAAGAGCACAGTGGCCTCCATTCCTTAAATGGAAGACGTTTGGGATGACCAGAACCCTTCCTAGAGCTGGCTGTCCGGCCAAACTGAGCTATCGGGGGCGAAGAGCCTTGGTGAGAGAGGTAAAGAAGAACCCAAAGATCACTGTGGCTGAGCTCCAGAGATGCAGTTGGGAGATGGGAGAAAGTTGTAGAAAGTCAACCATCACTGCAGCCCTCCACCAGTTGGGGCTTTATGGCAGAGTGGCCCGATGGAAGCCTCTCCTCAGTGCAAGACACATGAAAGCCTGCATGGAGTTTGCTAAAAAACACCTGAATAAGATTCTCTGGTCTGATGAGACCAAGATATAACTTTTTGGCCTTAATTCTAAGCGGTATGTGTGGAGAAAACCAGGCACTGCTCATCACCTGTCCAATACAGTCCCAACAGTGAAGCATGGTGGTGGCAGCATCATGCTGTGGGGGTGTTTTTCAGCTGCAGGGACAGGACGACTGGTTGCAATTGAGGGAAAGATGAATGCGGCCAAGTACAGGGTTATCCTGGACGAAAACTTTCTCCAGAGTGCTCAGGACCTCAGACTGGGCCGAAGGTTTATCTTCCAACAAGACAATGACCCTAAGCACACAGCTAAAATAACGAAGGAGTGGCTTCACAACAACTCTGTGACTGTTCTTGAATGGCCCAGCCAGGGCCCTGACTTAAACCCAATTGAGCATCTCTGGAGAGACTTAAAAATGGCTGTCCACCAACGTTTACCATCCGACCTGACAGAACTGGAGAGGATCTGCAAGGGGGAATGGCAGAGGATCCCCAAATCCAGGTGTGAACAACTTGTTGCATCTTTCCCAAAAAGACTCATGGCTGTATTAGATCAAAAGGGTGCTTCTACTAAATACTGAGCAAAGGGTCTGAATACTTAGGACCATGTGATATTTCAGTTTTTCTTTTTTAATAAATCTGCAAAAATGTCAACAATTCTGTGTTTTTCTGTCAATATGGGGTGCTGTGTGTACATTAATGAGGAAAAAAAAAAGAACTTAAATGATTTTAGCAAATGGCTGCAATATAACAAAGAGTGAAAAATTTAAGGGGGTCTGAATACTTTCCGTACCCACTGTATATATATATATAAAAGTTTTTTTATTTTTATGATTCTATTTATTTCAGGCCAGGAAAAAAAATAAAATCACAATTTTAAAATGTCTTGATATTTCCAGGTTTTCCAGTGCTGTGGAGACCTTTTTTTTTGGACCAAAAAAAAAAACAAAAAAAAACTTACATCTGTCTCTGATGTGTTCATAGGCAGACCCCGGAGCATGATGGTCTTGCTCTCCTTCTCATCAGCTGGGTCTCCTCTGTAATCATGCTCAGAGTAATCACCATCTGAGTGGTGTCCGTCATCGGACCCGTCACTGCAGCGCCGCTTCCTTCCTCGCTGTTACACGGGTGAGATTTGAAGTGAGCGTCATGCTCCTGTCAAAACATCCAATAAACAAATACATATATAGGTAGTCCTCACCTCAGGACTGTCCCTGCTCCAGTATCGATCAGCTCTGTCACTTCGTTCACCATCGTAGCGTTCACTACGGCGATCATCACTCCAGCGATGCGACTCATAACCGCGGTCATCACGGTCTCGCCGGTCCCTGCGGTCATCATCACGAGACTGTTCAGAGCCGTACCTGCCACTGCGCTCTGTACGGCTAACCCTAGTTACAACAATATTTAATAAAACATTGTTAGAATGAAAAATATTTAAATTTTTTAGGTTTCAGCAAATGTAACAAAATAAATAAAACCTCAAATAAATTATAAAACACTCACCGTTTATCTGCACCCATCTTCGTTTCTCAATACAAGGCCTGTTAAAAATGTGTATTAGTCAATATTTACCATATATAGAATATATCAATAATTAAAGGGGTCATATGATGCGATTTCAATTTTTTCTTCCAGGCTCTTGGTGCATAAAGAAGATCTGTAAAGTTGCATAGACTAAAGTCTCTAGGGTTGCACCGAATGTTCGGCAACCGAAATTATTCGAATAAGTGAAAAGACTGAATAAATTGTACCGAACAATGATATGACGCGATCAAATAGCAACCAGTGCAGAGTGAGAGGCGCGCACTCTTTATTATGCAGCACACACGTCAGCAGTGGGGAGGCATTTAAACGCAAGAAAGACGCAAAAATCATTACAAGCACCGACAGCGAGAGACTGTTTAGGACTGCATCGCATGTCTTCAATGAGAAGAGGAAGGGGTGATTGTTGCTCGTTACTGTATGATGATTGAAATCGCGAAATGGCCTTAAACAATTAGTAAATAAACTGCAGAACGTTATGTTTTCTAATACACATGCGCAGTGCATGTATTCTGACAGCGCTGCACGAACTCTCAGCAGACCTGCTTGTTAAATAGGGGTCAAAGTCCAAAGCGCGAGGAAAATCTGCGCTGATACAGTCGTCAGTTGCTCAGTCATTTTTATGAATTTTTACAAGGCACGTGACAAAGTGATACGTACGACGTATTCGTAATGAGACGCATTTATAAATCTGTTGTCAACAAAAATAAGCATTGAGGTCTTCCTGTGCGTTTCCGCCAAAATAAAAGTTGAGAAAAAGCAAGAACTCTTATCAACATTCATAAATGCTAGTATTGTAAATTTACTGTTGTTCTATAAAATAAAATAAAAAAAAGTAAGACAATAATAATGATAATCATTACAACAGCTCTGTTTTAATACATTTATTATAACATTAACAGTGTTCAAATTAGGATCTGTAATATTTTCTAATGTTTTAAAAGAAGTCTCTTCTCAGCAAGGCTGCTTTTAATTGTACAGTAAGAAATGCATGCCTAATTCAAGGGGGTCTGATGGCCAAAAAATATTATTTTACTAAGATAAGTAGATAAGATATACTTTAGTAAGATCTGTGTTTTCATTTTGACATTTTTCATTATTTATTTATATTATGTGTTATCATGTTTAGGAACCGTTACATTTTAGTGAAGGGAGCAGATCATAGTTGATAGTGGCCCGTGACTAGCCCACGGTTCAGCACGCATGCGTTCAGAGGATTAATTGCTAAATTTAATAGAGTAAAAGTTTGATCATTTGTACACGTTTACAAACTCAAGCGATTGTAATGCCTGTCCGGGCAGGGACACCGGCAACGGATAAGTATCGCTTTTTATTTCTCCTCTTTCCTATTACTTGTTTCACTTCTCTTTCAGTTTTTTATAACCATTTCTTACTATGTGTCAGTGAGTTGTTGTTATTTTGGCATGCGTGTTTGGCTCAGTGTTATTTTTTTAGGATTTCTGATAAACTAATGTAGTTTGATTTGTATTAGTTATCTATTTTAGTTTTAGTTACAGTTGTAGTAATGTTGTCATTTTATTAGTTTTTTTATTATGTCTATATAGGTTTTTTATTAAGTTTTAGTTTTATTTAATTTGAGTTATTGCAGTACTTCATACAAAATGGAAATGAAATATATATATATATTGAATGTATTTATATATATATGTACATGCATATGTACGTGTGTGTGGCTGTACATTGGTTTTTGGTGTTTGGCTTAGTGTTATGTTAGAATCATTATTATACTTATACCTTTTGTTCTTTTCATATTTTGAATTGTTTTTAGCTTTATTTTTTGTTTTCATTTAAATGTTTCGTTTTGAAATGTTGTATGCATTTGTCATAATTATTTAATTTATTTTCTTAAATGGGTATATATATATAGTATTTATAGAGTTTTAGCATTTCGTTTTAATTACATTTTCTTATTTGTAAGTCGCTTTGGATAAAAGCATCTGCTAAATGACTAAAAGTAAAAGTAAAGTAAAAGTACTAACTTATTACTTTTAAATTGTGCTTTGTTGGTATAGTGTCTGCTAGAATGTTAAAAATGTTCAGTGTTAAATATTTTTTAATTGTTGTTTTGTAATTTATTTATTTTTTCTTTGAAAAGCAAGACAAAACGGTAAAAAGCACATTTTGGCTTTTTAAATGTATGCAATGGTGAGAATTGTTTTTTTTGCAAAATACATGGGGGAAAAAACTCTGTGTTCGGTATTCGGCCCAGTGTTTAATTTTGTTCGGTTTCGGCAAAGAATTTTCATTTCGGTGCATCCCTAAAAGTCTCAAATCCAAAGAGATATTCTTTATAAAAGTTAAGACTCATCCACGCCCTCCTAAAACGGCTTGTTCTAACACGCCCCCACATGTCTACGTCACTATGTGAGAAGATTTGCATAACGCCGCCCAAATGTTCACGCAAAGAAAGAAGGCGTAACTTTAATTCTTGCTGTTGCCGCCGCTGCCATGTTGTGGAGTCGCTGTGTGTTTCGTTGTGAAAGCGAAACTACTTTGTTCGGTCTTCCAAAAGAGGACACGACTAGAAATCAGTGATTAAGTTGTATTTACAACACTGTTCCAGAACACTTCAACCCAGATATTCAGATGTGTGCAGCACATTTTATGGAGGACTGTTTCCTGAACCAGTAGCCTACACTGCGTCTGTGGCACAAAGGCTGTTTCTATAGAGTGGGGCAGTTCCAACTTTGCAAGGACAGTTTGGCGCTTCTGACTCACGGCCTGTAAGTACGTTTTTTGTATTGAAATAATTTGCCACTGACGATTTAAACGACAGTTCTGAGCAGTGTAGAGTAGGCTTGTTGTTTGTCGTTTCTCTGATGACAAATGCAGATATGGTTTTATGTTTACGCGGCGCGATGCGCAACGCGTAAAAAGACAGTATAAGTCATTATAATCTGTAATTATGTCCCCACTGGATGCAACAAATGCCCAAATGCCTGTCCCCACTGGATGCAACAAATGCCTCGTTTGTAATGGTTTTATTGGTTTTGTCTCGTCCTGCTGGGAGAGGGCAACACAGTATGTTAAGGGGCGTAACATTTCCGTCACACGCTTGAGGTATTCGGCCAATCAGAGGACACCTCGCTTTTTTAGAAATCTGAGTTTTGCAAAAATCGATGTGTTTCAGAAAGGCGGGGCATAGAAGAGCAACAATAATGTACAGTATGTGAAAAATAATGCGTTTTTTTAACCTTAAACCGCATAAACACATTGCATTGTATACCAAATACACAAAATAATGTTCTTTTTAGCAGCATCATATGACCCCTTTAACAACATTAGTCTGTTGCACATATCACAAATATATGCAATTATAAACCTTGTGTTGGAATGTCAAACGTATAAGCTCTTGGTTCAATTATATAAAAAATACAAACATGGTAAATAAATACATGGTACATATCAAATCTCCATGGTATTACCATTTGATAAGATCACAAAACTTATGAAAGGGAAATATATATATATATATATATACACACACACACACACACACACACACACACACACACACACACATCTTTCTATGCAGCATCATATGACCCCTTTAACAACATTAGTCTGTTGCACATATCACAAATATATGCAATTATAAACCTTGTGTTGGAATGTCAAACGTATAAGCTCTTGGTTCAATTATATAAAAAATACAAACATGGTAAATAAATACATGGTACATATCAAATCTCCATGGTATTACCATTTGATAAGATCACAAAACTTATGAAAGGGAAATATATATATATATATATATACACACACACACACACACACACACACACACACACACACACACACACACTTCTATAACAGCACAGGACTGAATGCATTCCTATGGCGCGGTATTTACATGGTAATGCAATGTACTTTAAAGAATACCCTGGTACATGCACATACAACACGTATGCTATTTCCATGATACATGTCTAAAAACGTATGGTAGTAGTACCAAAGTATGTTTTGTTCGTGTGGTCTACATTTTTGTTATGTGAGAAGTTCAGTAAGCTACAGGAAGACACTTCAAAATGGAGACCGTGTCGTCGGGCTGTCGTTGAAAAAGGCGCAAACCACGCACCAAGACAACGAAAACTCACCAAATATATTTCAACGAAACGTTGAAATGAAATATTTCTCGTATACTGAGAACTCTAACGACTGCTAGCAGATCCCTTCTCGCCGAAAGATCACACTCTTCGTCGGGTCATTCGATGTCATCTGCAGCTAAAATGGTCTGAGCTTCTCCTTCCCAGAATGCCTTTAGGTGAGGCGTGTTGTTGATGTTGCATCATGGGAAATGTAGTTTCTTATAGCTGTTTTCGTCGACTTCTCTTCCTCTAATGTCCATCTGTGGTCAGAGGATAACAAACTGTTTGACTAAATGAAAACCTAGAAGTATGATGCTTTTTTTTAATAGCATAGTTTATATTTAATATTAATACATAGGCCTACCTGTGTTTTTCTTGTTTTATATATGCTTATTTAAAAATTAGAAATTTAGAAATGCCATGCTTGGTGCAAAGAGTTAAGGGAATTGCGTAATTACTCCTCATATGAATTACGCATTGCACGTTATCACACCTGCTCATAGTAACTACCAAAAGAAAGAAAGAAAACCCACCTGAAGGTGTGGCTGCTCTAGAAAGTGCATTGGAGAGTACGGTGTACTTCTATAACGCGGCGCTGGAATCAACATGGGACACCCGAGTACAGAGGCAGCACTCTTCAAGACCTTTATAAAGGAAGCAGACACTTGAGAGGAACATTTTGTTGCATAACGCTCTCATACAGAAATCTTACCGCATCCGGATTCATCAGTCCGCTGAAGATGAGGAGGATGATGATGGTCAAGAGAGAATGACAGGTGAGTAAACTCACTATGAGTCACACTGAGCTTTATATTTTGATATTAATTAAAAAAACACAAAAAGTACAGTGAACGTATGATAGCCGATATAGTTCTGAAATTAGGCTAATTTACAAGGTAGCCTACTTCCAATGGACCGTTCAATAGTATTTCTTTTTACGTTTTTGTACAGTTGTACTTCTTTGACATCCATAGCTTAAGAAAATATGGTGTCCAAAAACTTTATTTAGGATTTGCACTATGGAAGTACCAGGGTATTCTTAGAAGAACCTTAAATACTACTATTTCAGTACCATGGTAGGCTATATATTAAACTCAAGTTCAAGTACCCCTGCTTTTTATGTAGTGCATTAAAACTACATCAAATGCAAAGGGCCACAAATGACCATTTGCATCATTTTATTTAAAACTATATTTGCAGATTTACTGATTTAGAAATACAGTTTATTATCTAAGTCTTGCTTGTCCTATTTTAAACAACACTGAGCAAGAATATATATATATATATAATTTGTTTTGTTTTTTTACATTTGAGTAAAAATCTGGATCAAAAAATTGGATTAAAAGTCTGTTTTGCTATATTGACGCAAAAAATGCATTCATACTCAGAGTATTGAACAAACTCAAAATGCTTAAACTAAAACCCTTCTTGAGCAAATATAGTTCACAAAATTCTTTAGAAAGAAGTATTATTTTTCATATTTATATTAACTATATTGTATCAATATTTTTTAAATAGATATCACTATTTTCCCACCATGATTCTGAAAAAAACAACAGAGACCGAAACAAAATAACATGTAATTTACTAACGTTTCTAGTATCTTTATTTGAAGCATTGTCACTTTAAAATAGGTGACTTATTCTATTTTGATCGCTTCTGTAGACAGCAGTGTTTATATCCGAACTATAAACTTTTATTCCAGTACTTCTGTGATTATTTGGTTTGGTATATAGCACTACTGCCCAGGGGATAGAGGCCTACGTGGCCTATCCATTAGGCCACTACGTGGCCTAATGGATAGAGAGTCAGACTTGTAACCCGAAGGTCGCAGGTTTGAGTCTCAGGTCCAGGAGAGATTGTAGGTGGAGGGAGTGAATATCCAGCACTCTCTCCACCGTCAATACCACAACTGAGGTGAGACCCTTGAGCAAGGCACCGAACCCCCAACTGCTCCCCAGGCGTCGCAGCATTGGCTGCCCAATGCTCCGGGTGTGTGTTCACGGTGTGTGTGTGCACTTGGATGGGTTAAATGCAGAGCACAAATTCTAAGTATGGGACACCATACTTGGCCACACGTCACTTTTTTCACTTTAAAAGAACCCCAAGGGTTATCCACAGTGCTTTACATAAAAGCCAACAACCAAAACACCATCACACACATATATTGACCAATCTAGCAATCACAAATAATCTCCTATATAATTTAACTCCAAAGTGAGCTTTCAGCAGTTTCTTAAACATTGACAGAGATTTAGCAGATCTGATTTGAATATTTGTAACACAGAAATAACGATACAAAAGACTTTGTAAAGATGTTTCATATAAATGCTCTCTCTGGTCAGTGGCAGTGCGAACGTAGATTTGAATGGCTTTAATAGACATATAGTTGAATCATTTATGAACAAGATTGTATGGGAGATTAAATCTGTTTGCGATCTGGCTATTTATTTAAATATCCAACAATATACGACAGTAAACATACGACGTGACAATATGTGACCCTGGACCACAAAACCAGTCTTAAAGGGTTAGTTCACGTTCCTTTTTTACCCCTAATAGGTAGGCCTACAAATTATTACCTTAAGGGTACGAATTACTACTCTAAGGTACTAATATGTACCTATTAGGGGTACAAAAATAAAAAAAGGTACAAAGATGTCCTTTTAAGAGTACTGGTACGGTGTCAAGCTGTTGTACCCCAAAAGGTAAAATTTTGGTCCTTTTTTTCTGCGTGGCCTGGATGAGTGTGAGATTTCCCAGCCTGAAATTACATCCCAGTCCGGCCCTGCTTCCAAAGTAGTTTTGTGTAAAGAATTACCATAGTAAGTTTAAAAAAAATAAAAATGCTGATACCTTTTTGTGCTTTTAGTGTAGGCTATGACTAGTTGGAAAACTTGTTTGAGTTGTTCCGTGAGTTATTCCAGTGAAGAGCAGCTTTAGTGTATTTGTCCAGTACAATTATTTTTACAACAGCGTAACAAGACCAATTTAGTTACTTCCAGAAAATTGTTTTAATAGTCACATTAATAATTAACAATGCCTTTCTTTATGCTGAACAATGGCCCATGTTTTGTTTTTCAGTTGTATATTTACAGCCGTCATTTGAATAGGCTATTGTTAGTGTGCAACTGTTTTCATTTCACTCTCTGAATATTCTTTTGAATGTGTTTTGCATATAAACTATGGGTGGGACTACTGGAAACAACAGATGATGTTGTTGTAAAATAACGATATTTGGGTAGTTGAAAAAAATAACATGAACATGAAACGTATCCTCCTGGGACCCAGGTATAGATTTTGTCCAGGATATTATATTTTATATATATATATATATATATATCTTTAAATATGACTAATATTGACAGAATGATCAAATGTAGTACTCATAGGGAAATATGATAATGTTTTGTAATTATCATTTAATTCTCGCTAATTTTCAAATTGTTTGTCGTAAATAAACATCTCAGAAAAATTTCAAGGGGTTTCAAATTGGAATATGACTTTTTGTTACGAAACGAGGCATACTTTTCATACATGTCTTCTGTTGAGGACACCAGGACAAACATCATGTTAAGAAAATTATAGATCAATATTCCTATGAAATATGAGATATTCTTATGAAAATGTTGCTAAGTTATTACTCCGATTATAACAATTCTTTTTTCATTATGGTTTGCCCCAAGAGCCAAGAACACATTAATATGCAAATTAGATGCAGTGTATAGATACATTGTATAGAATGGGGGGACCCAGGGATAGATTTTGTCCAGGATATTATATTTTATATATATATATATCTTTAAATATGACTAATATTGACAGAATGATCAAATGTAGTACTCATAGGGAAATATGATAATGTTTTGTAATTATCATTTAATTCTCGCTAATTTTCAAATTGTTTGTCATAAATAAACATCTCAGAAAAATGTCAAGGGGTTTCAAATTGGAATATGACTTTTTGTTACGAAACGAGGCATACTTTTCATACATGTCTTCTGTTGAGGACACCAGGACAAACATCATGTTAAGAAAATTATAGATCAATATTCCTATGAAATATGAGATATTCTTATGAAAATGTTGCTAAGTTATTACTCCGATTATAACAATTCTTTTTTCATTATGGTTTGCCCCAAGAGCCAAGAACACATTAATATGCAAATTAGATGCAGTGTATAGATACATTGTATAGAATGGGAATACCACATATTCCATAAAGTACAGTAGTATATCAAATCATTCTGTTATATCTTTCATAACATAGTTGAGAATCATCTTTGAACAAAGTTTGGCTAAAAATAGCCTGAAACCTAAAAACTGATTGGTGAATTAAAAATTAAATAATTGGTTTTGCCTATACATGCCTTTTCATGGCTATTTTTTTTTTTTTTTAATAACTTAGTCCTGGTGTCCTCTACAAAGGACATAGAATAAACTATGAATAAAATATATATTTTTTCAAAAATGTTTTTTCTCCGTTTGTTTCTTATGCTCCAACCAAAGTTATGACATAAAAAAAAAAAAAAAATTCACAAAACTTTTTTACCTGGTTCTCAGGAGGATGTATAAACACATAAATAAAAAGTATTATATTTCTTTTTTCTTTAAATGATAATAATCATAATAATACTTTTAATCCCCTTGCAGTTCACTTATACAGCAAATGGATTTTAATATTCAAATAATAAATTATTAAATAGAAAATTAATATAAACTCTATTAAATATAAAACTGCATAAAAATGATGCAAGATCAGATTTTTGTTTTGTTTTAAATAGTTCTAGATGAAGTAAAGCATATTATATTTATGCTACCCTGCTGTCTGTGTATTAAGCCTCTATGGCAATGTACATTGTTAACCTGAAAACCAAGGGGAGTTTTTAAACCCGTTTAAAATAAAACCCGTCTTTTTCCTGGTTCAGTACGCTATTGTTGAGCAATGGCTTGACTGTAGTAGTAATCACTTTCTAATGTCATTGCTTTATCAGCATGTTCAGTCTTTTATGGTGTGGCCACACCAGACTCACATCCATTCAGAGCAAAAATGCAAGCACATGCAAAGGGTTTTTATTAAAATTTACTACATACAACCGTTCAAGTTGGGTGACCTGCACATTTGCATAGCCGAAAGGCATGGCATCTTATCTTGTAGCTGGTAATCG